CCTGCATCACCAAAGAACAATTGCTGGCTTGTCGTCGCCCGTGTTATCCACGAAGCGGTAAACCAACTGGCGGCCAGGCCGCCGTGAATCAATGTCCAACTTGCTCTCAAGGGGGCGCGAGGCCGGTCCCAACACACGCGCGGTATAAAAGGTACGCAGACGTCGACGAGTTCTTCAGGATAATCACCTACCACCACTCCACACACTCCAATGGATTCTTTCACCGTCGCTCAGCTCACCGTCGAGGACATCTCCATCAACGATCAGGAGTCCTCTGGCAGCAATAATGGCACCACCGGCTACTGCGTCGTCGCCGCGAAGCCCACGGACATCCCCGCCGAGGAGGAGTCCTCTGGCAGCAACAACGGAACGACTGGATACTGCGTCGTTGCCTAGATGATTGACGTGACACTACACATCGTCGGTCCTATCATTTTTCGGACTTGTATTGGCACTGACGACGCACTCACTCGTAGATCATGCAGTGATCACCACGGCCTCCATCATTCACCGCGCGATATCCACCCATACCATTCACACATTCACATACCATTCACATTTGTCATACCGCGCTTTCGTATTCTCGGAGGAGGAGGATCATCGGGGCGGATACGCGATGCAGGCACCATATTTATCCAGTTCGACATTAGCATTTCGAGGCGGGAATTATACGATATTTGAAGTCGATTTGACCTGAGCAACTGTCTTCTGCTCGCAGCTTAAAAACGCAAGTAACACCATGACATTGGATCTGCAACCACATTACATCTAGACAGTCGCCAAGAAATCGAGGGAGGACAGCAGTTCAAGCAGGTTAAGAAACATAATGCCGTGGAATGAACGCAGTCGCCATCAGCTGGCATGCAGAAAAGCCTTAGCAATATCGTCTTGAAACCGATGAATATACGCGAGCAGTTCTTGGTCCGGAAGCGCAGAATGCTCCAGTGCCTGCGTGAGCTGAGTTCGGAGCTAGGTATTGCGGTGAGTCGAAAATGTCAAGAGACATGACCGCAAGCAAAGTCAGAAAAGTTACCCGTAACAGTGCTTTGCGTCGTGTGGCGGCTTGACTGCTCTCGCTCTCCGCTTCGTGTCTTGCATGGAGCGCAGCGAGGGTCTCTGCGACTCGCTTTCCCTCTGTTAGGACGTCCTCAGGTAGATCAGCCAAGCGCGCAAGCTCGAGACCTATAAAACGTTGATGGCATCACCAGTATCACAATCGAACGGCCGTACCATAATGGTTATTATCCTCCGGCGCTCCGTCGACAATCCTGGGTAACGTTCTCAGGATTAGGGACTGAGAAAGCAAGGTTTGATTGCTTACTTGTATTGGAAACTTAAGCCGAGGTTGGAGGCAGATGGGCGTGTTCGCTGTCAGCGTGTACTAATTAGGTCAAGGAAAAATAAAAATCGACTTCGTGAGTCGCGTCTCACATGCACCGATAGATGAAGACTATGGAGGTTGTAAGTCAACATTGAAGCACAGGCGGCCCACGACACGTACTTGACGACGGTCGGCTGGCGGGAGAGTGTGAGAGTCAATCCCTTGAAGTGCCTAAAGCATAGCATCAGCAAAGTCATAACCAACATCCGAGTCCGATGTATACGTCGCGAAGAACACAAAAGACTAGAAAAGAAGAAAGGAACCCGTAAGAATCCAGTCGTGCCATGAGCCGACGAAGCTTAATTACTTTCAGCGCAATCAACTCCTCGGCGATTGCATGTGAGATACCGATTCCATCCCCAGGAGAGGTCCCCCGGCCAAGCTCATCGATGAGCACCAACGAATTCGGACTGGCAAGCCCTAACACCATGTAAATAAGGTTCATTGACACACACGCAAATAATAGATAGAATCGAACACGCACCGATAATCATAGCAGACGACGCCATCTCGCTCGCGAACGTGCTGAGACTCTTCTCCATATCATCGTCGTTCGACAATCGCGTCAAGAGGGCATCGTGAATCCTGGCCACTGGTCATGAGCGGCCGCCAACATGAATCCGGTAAGGCGCACCTAAAGCTAGCATATTCAGCAGGCACGAAGCACCCGCACATGGCCATGACAGCAAGCAAGCCGATCTGCCTTAGGTACGTGCTCTTTCCTAATATCAAAGCGCTTTTAGCATGATGAAGTCGGCATATGGAAGTGTCTACACGAACCTGACATGCTAAAAGAACCGAAAACACAATCAGAATTGAATGACGACTTCCTGTCGTACACACTTGGGCCCCTGAATAATTTGAAAGGACGACGAATCGTCGCAATACACATCGTTTGGGACGAGCGTTCCCGCAGATTGAATGGTCTCCAAGACAGGATGCCGCCCAGACTTAATTGCTAGGGTTCCCGTGAACTCAGGCCGCACTGGCAAACTCCGATCAGCCCGTAGGTAGGGACAGAAGAGCCTGCTTACCGTAGTTGTGCACTGTATGTCAACACGGGAGTGAGTTTTGTGGCATAGCAGAGGCTGAGTATCATACTGATGGAAGAATGAGCGTACGACCACAACATGTCAACGAGCGCGACCTTAGAACACAGGTTAGGAAAAGCCACGAGGATCCCAGTAGGGAAGGAAGTCACCGCCTCGGATGCCTTGTAAAGTGCGCCAACATCCACGAGGATTTCCGCGACGAGGTCGGATATGATCCTACATGGGTTCGTCACTCAAACAGCCATCCAAGAAGAGCGAGCTGCCAAAACTCACTTCTCACTAAGCACAAGCGTCTCATCCAATGCATCCTTCATCCTCGCGTTAATCTTCTTCTATGCCCCCAAATGCCTATCAGCAATTCCATCTCTACGCAAAGATGAAAGCGACATACCAGATCCATGCTCGAAAACACCCACTTCCCCTTCCTCATGCTGACATTAATAAACCCCTTCGGCAGCTCGCCCTCCAGCTCGTTCTTCTTGAGTGTAAACACGAAGCCCGTGTCCTGGTACACAAGGGACAGCGGGAGCTCGTGCTCCTCGCTAAGGGTGCGATTGAGCTGGAAGATGTCGCCGACGTTCTCTTTGTATGTCTCGCGCGCGACATCAAGGAGTCTGTTGCAATTGGCCTGGATAGCGTCACGATGCTGATTACCAGACCCTTTGATAAAAAATCACCTTGACTGCATATACGCGGGCGTTCACAGCACCGATACCGCCCTGGAGTAGAGTTGTTATTCATGAATCAGACGAGGAAAATTAAAGAAAGCCACCTTCGCGGGAGCCCCATCCTCGTTCAAGTTCGCACTCACGAGCTCCTCGATCTTCGCAAGCCGTTCATCAGAGATCATCTGGCACAGAAACAGTGAGCCGCCAGCATCAAGTCTCTTGACCAAGGACGCTCACATTGTGTATGATCTGGAGAAGCTGCGCCTGGCTGCCTTCCAGAGCCTTCTGCAAGAGCGGGAGATTCTTTACGACGCTGCGCAGGTTGAGCATCTGGAGCACCCTGGCTGAAGCCGGCTTGGCCGTGTTGGCGACGCGGACTTCCTGAGACGCGAGCTGCAACGAGTGAACATTATTTATTACCCCCGTTATAACGTATGCGCGTTATGGAAAGAAGACCTTGTAATATACATACCGATACGATGAGCTTGTCAAAGTCCATCTTATTGAGAGTCTTGAGGGCGTCGCGAACATCAGTGTATCGATCCTCCGTTTGGATGAACTCTGAGAACAGAAATCAGTGATGTGATGGTCAAAGCGTCCGCAAGGCTTGCCTTCAACGACATCGAGACGGGCATCAATGGAGGCCTGAACTGAATAGAAAGAAGCGGGTCAACATCTGCGCCTAACAACGAGATCGCGACATACCAGTGATCGGCGAGAGGATGTTGACTCTCAAAAGGCGCGCCGCCATCGCGGTATATGTGTGATTCAATGTCCTGAGTCAATGTCAGTCCAATCTTTTTAAAATCTGATTACGTTCAGGAAGACTGACCCAAACAGCGAATGCGCAGACTTTTTGTGCGACATATTTCCTACAAGTTCGAGGTTGCGTGCAGTGTCGGGGTCGATCATCATAGTCCCGTCAACGGGAACATATCGGATACGCAACGAGCCCGCAGCAAATCGGGTATGCAGCTTTGCCTCAGCGTGCTTGAATAACGCACACGTCGCCGAAAGCGCATAATATCTGGATAGATATGCGTCAGGTGAGCAGATATGGTGAAATACACTCAATATATGCGTACTTGTTGGACACGGTGAGCACAGTTCCTGCGCGTTCGTCGTCCTCGACACAGAGTTGCAGAATAAATTCAAGACCTAGACAACGCCAGTGAGAAACCATCGGGCGAGAAGCTTCTGTGCATACCGCCAGAATCGTTCCAATATCTCCTGCTGATAGGCTCCAGGGGAACCCCAGGAAACTCTTCGCGAATAAACTGGACAAGCATCGAAGTTGCCGCCGGGCGCTTCCCTGACGTGCCAGAGGGGTTATCCGAGGCGGAAAGAAAGGTGTCAGGCACCAACACAAGCGACGGGGAGTGCAAATGCATCTGGTGCAGCGTTTTCACGTATGTTTGACAATCTGCGAGCTTTACGAGTGTCGAAAATGTATATTGTTAAAACGACATCAACATGGGCCATGATGATCCCGATTCGCACCTGGACAACCATAACTTTCCCGGTATCCCTGTCGAGCGCAGCCATACCGACCTCGCGGGCGACCCCTCGCCCTTCCAGGAGAGCTATGACATAGCTACCTTCGCGCCGAGCAGATGCAGAGGTCATCGGCCGCGCTGTGTTTGGTCGCGCAGTGGTGGGCCTCGATTGGCCGGTCCATGGTGGACGCTGCCGAGTCGTAAGACGCGAAGTCTGTGTCGCAGGACGTGATGTGTCATACTGATATTGTTTGACGCTCATTGCTGGCCGCGAGGACATGGATGTCGGTGATGGTCCAGATGTAGGCCAGTTTCGTGGCAATCTTGTTTGCGCGTTGTTTAACACGACAGCCGACGCGTCCATGGCCCCGTAGAAAAATTTTTAACCGGAGTTGTCTTCCAGAGGCACTGCCAGGACTCGAACCTGGGTTACGAGAATGACCCAGCCAAAGAATCAGAATCTCGAGTGATAACCGCTACACTACAGCGCCATAGCGCAGATGGCTTGGAAATTTATAGTAGAACAGTCAAGGTCAAGTACTTCTGCAAAGATGAATCGCGACATATCCCAAAGAAACAGATCCCGGAAGTGGATTCAAGTTGCGTAGACCGGTGACCGGGCTCTATGAGCAGCTTGTATCGCGAGAACCTCTGACGATGACGAGTTCATATTTGAGTATAATCGCATTGACTAGGAAATCGATTCCTATTTCTCATTCTAAGTACCCATATGGAAAGAGCGTGGTGGTGAACGTATGCTACAGCGCTATGAGGTACATTCTGAGATGTGTGTGTTGGAGTAATCACCTCCGTGAAGCAGCGAAGGCGTGATCGTCAAGGTCGTGGCCGTCAGTGTCATAAAAGTGTTCGCGGGGGCCCGGGGACGTTGAGAACGTGCGTTAGAACGAAGAGTCCGGATGGTGCGAGTATCGTGATAGGCAAAATGCGAGTGTCGTGATGCGGATGGTGGATACATGTGTGCGAGAAGCGAAAGCATGATGCGGTCGATATGCGATTGAGATAAATGAGACAACGTCAACGTTGGACGAAACCAGTAAGAAACTCCGGCGTACGCCTCGGGCGGGCTGTGGGAGACGTAATGAAAGGAGCAGCTCTAGGCAGAGAAAGTTTTGGGTAAGCTAATAGAAATGAAGCCAGGCAGCGTGGCTCCAACCTGATCATCTGATTCAATCAAATGGTTGATCGGAGCGGCGATGGCCTCTGCGGAACCTCCAATGAAGCTCCTGTTCTCTCCGAGCGGGAGTTCGAACGACTGGACCTCCGCGCGTGATGTCGCATGAGGAGAGCAGCGACAATTTGCGGGGCGTTCAGACGAGCTTCGGGGACCGGTGGTGGCACACATCGAGGAGGCGGATATGATAAGACGGCGATTGCATGGCCCGTGGGACTCTCGACAACGACATCCATATCGTCGGAGAGAGCTAGAGCGTTGTGTGTCGTATCAACATCCATGAGGCAGGACTGGTCCGATTCTAGATCAAGAGGTATGAGGCTAGCCTCCTTCAGGCCCTGGGCAAGGAGACGTGTTCTGAGACGACTCGCTAGGAGTTGGTCCTGCGTCTCAAAAATCGATGCATCCAGATAACGCTCCGAATTCCGCGCAGCTGCACGCCGCTCTATCACCCCTCCTGCAACACACCGCTGGACGATCGCCATGAATTTTAAATCAGACGCACCAACCGGCGAGACCCGTCTCGCAGGTTTAGCGGATTTAATCAACCGCGGGCGCTTTCGGGGAGGTTGCAGTGGCTCAGCAGCTGAACACGGTTCAGGCGAGGTGAAAGGGATGGGTTGAGAGAGACGCGTAGTTGCACGCTTCCGCCTCTCTTGTCCGGTGCGAGTAGCGGGAGAAGATCGGGCTCTGGGCTGGGAAGGTCCCTCTGGGGACGATCGAAGAAGGGAAAGACATGTCCGGTCAGGCTGGCTGATCGCGCTGTCTGGAGATTCCGCCAGTGAAGAAGGAAATGGAATCAAGTTTGTCGGTGAAGGCAAAGAAGGTGAAGAAGAAATCGATTGAAAAGAGATGCAAAGATCGTTTGCGCTGACATTTGCGAGTGAGACGGTACAGGTCGGAGCTGACTTTCTCGAGCTGAGCTTGGAAATGAAACGAGTCGATGCAGGACGAGAGTTCGAGCGGGGGCTGTTGGTCGAATTAGCAAGGGCGACGCGGGTGGCCGACATTGTGAGAGACGAGCAGCACAGCAACGGCTCGGAACTGACGCAAGAAAGGTTGAGGGTTTTGCAACGTGTAGTCTTTATAATAAGTTTATAGTGTCCGATGCCGTCAGGTGACCGTGATCATGGCGCGGCAGGCGGTCCGTCTCGGCCGACGCGACGCGTTTCCGCCTTGCGGCCCTAGTACCAAGTACTAAGTAGTAGCCGCGACCTCGACGGGAACGCTGGCTCTTCACACAGTTCACAAGATATTGGCCCTTGCGTCGCGATAAGTACGTGATTTGCCAACGCCACACAAAAGATCCGTCAAGCGACTTTCTATACAACTTCGGCTCCCTTTCCCTCCCCACCAGGGTCCTGCTCCCCCACATAACACCCCAACATCGGGGTCCACCTAAACTCATGATTTAGAAGCCGCGTAAGGACCCCATACGCCTTCAAATCGGCATACGGCACGCCCGTCCTCGGATCCAAGTACCTCGCCTGTTTCCCCGTGATCGCACACCTCTGCTTCGGGCGTGCTGTACAAATGCCACCAGTCAACGAAACTTGAAAACATCAGATGCCACAAACGACTCACACAAAGGCCTTCCCTTGCCAATGAACACCTTGACTTCATCCCACTTCACATGGTCCCCGAACATTGCAGACATTGTGTTTTCCCAAGGTGGCTTTGGCACGCCCCTTTCCTGCGCCAGCTCATGCACCACGTAGTTCTTTGCCACTGTTTCTAACCTCTCCGTCGGCTGTGGCTGTGGGGGTGCCGAGGCCGAGAACGCAGAGTACGCAGTCGGGTATGGAGAGGAGGTGGATTGAGATTGCAACTGCATCATATAGGGATTGTAGGTTGGCTGGTATGACGTTATCTGGGGCTGCGTCGGCGTCGGCGTTGAAATCGGGTGCGCAGTTGGCTGAGATGTCGGCGTTGGTGTTGATGTGGGTGTGGGTGCAGTTGACTCTGGTTGTGTCTGCATCTGTCTGGTCGAAGGCCCCGGGGTCGCCCCCAACGCCGCCGTTGAAGTCGAAGCCGAGGAAGATACCGCAGGCGTATAATGTGCACTCCAACTACCGCTCGCCATATGCGGATACACCCCCGCCGAATACGTGAACGGCGTGCCCTGTCCATACATGGTTGTTCCCGACGAATTGAGCGAGGCAAACGCATACGGCGGGCGAGGCGCGAACGTCGGCTGTGGAGGCGGCGGCACGATGACTTTAATCTCTTCGCCTCTACTGATCCACCGAATCAAAGGCCCTTCGACGGTGGCGCGCACGACGCGGGCTCGGCGGCGTTTCTCCTCCTCGACTTTTAGATAATCACGGTGCTCCACAATGTTGCCCTCTTCATTGTCCAGTGCGAGCGCGATGAGCTCGGCCTGGGTGTATCTCTTTGATTCTCTCATGACCTTCTTTGGCGTCGCGGCCTGTACAATATGTAATATCGTTAACTGTCATGCAAGGCGATGGATTGAATGGGACGCACCTTCTTCTCTTCCGAGCGCTTCAACCTCTTCACAGTCGCAGACGTGTTTAAAATCGTATGCTTCCTCTGGCTAGTCCTTTTCTTCTTCGGGCTGCCCTTCTCCCCAGATAATACATCCCCCGTCTCCGCATTAACTGCAAGGCCGAGTGACACGCGTCGTTTGACCTTTGGCTTCTCTTGCGCCTTGGACGTTGAAGCTTCTGACTGCACTTGCGGATTGAATGCGACCTTGTGCTTGGCATGTGCCGCAGCCGTCGCTCGTTCTACTCTAGAACGCGCTTCCTTGGAATGTAAGTCAACATAACCGCCAGAGGTATGAGAAAAAGAGCGACATACCTTCCTGGCGCGCCTCTCCTCTTCTTGTACAGCTTTATCGCCAGCCTCAGCATCCTCCTGTGCAGCTTCCTCGTCCGTACTCTCGAAATCCGACCCAAACACGTCCTCTTCGTCTGGTAAACGATCGCGTCAGTCAGCGTGTTACCGATACCTGGGCTCAGACCATTCAGACCTTTGTCGTTTACGAAATCCTTATCATCTTCTATGGACTCTATTGTTGTATCGAGCGCCATTTCTGCGAGAGCCGCTTCCATCCTGGATTCGTGCCACAAGTGAGAACATATCTTTCGTTCAAATGAAGATTGAGGCCCACCGATTTCCCGCAGTGCTCCGTCGCGACCGCCGAGTGACGAGAAAATCCTCGGGATCTGCCATGATTGTGTCTTCCTGGCTCATTGTTGGAAAGTAGATGTGAGAGGTGGAACGAGTGCTAAAGAGTGCGGGGCGGAAGTACGGCTGGGGAAGCCTACGCCCCCGAAACCAAATACTCATCAATATCCGAAAAAATCCCTCCGAGGCCGTCACCGTCGCGTGCATTCGAACTTGTTATTATGACTAGCCGCGTAGCGAAACGCGCCGCCGCTGGGCCCTCTCATCTCAAGCGGGTGCTGGAGCATCTTAACGCCGGACCGAAACTTACGCTCTCCAACCTCAAGAGCCTCAAGCTGTCTCTCGCGTTCCAGAATGACCACTTCGGTGCCCGGTGCGTCGTATCTATGTCATTCAAGTGGAGGTTCACGACGAGCTTACAATATGGAGCAATAGGCATTTTGTAAAGGAGCAGCTTCCCCGCATCAGGTATGCGAACCCAGACCTCGACATCCAGGTGGAGAAGGTGCGGAAGAGCGCCACCGAGGCCTGGCGGCCAGAGTTGGAAGTCGAGTTCGGTGAGCCTCTCACCTCTCCCATGTGACGGGACCACTAATCTCATGCGACTGTTCCATGAAGAAAACGGACAGCAAACAACATTAGACCTGCACGAAAAATGGTCTTCCACAATCCTCAAGGAGCTGATGGAGCTTGCCGGCGGGGAGCCGTGGGCGAAATGGAAGGCCGAGGCGGCGACAAAAGGGCTGCCTGTGGTGGCCGGGGAGGAGAACGAGGGAAAAGCTGTGAAGCGACCAACGCGCACACCGCTACCATCTCTCAAGACGTTCCGCGCGAACGCACCGCCGCCAGTAGACCCCACCGCAGACCCAGAGCCTCCCAAGACCGGGGTAGCCGCCGCTCTGCCATAGCTGTGCATCTCCTCTCCTGGATTCCCCATGTACGACAATATAATGCTGAACTCATAATTTCTCGAATCCTCGTCCCTCTCCTTCAGGCTTCAAACTTCAGGGCTCAGGGACGTAAAACCTCCAGTGGTATCATATTAACACATCGACGCCGCTCTACTGACAGGTTACAAGATGCAAATATACACTGCCTACTGTGACACCACGAGGCTAATTAAGCCGCTAGCCATCCCGAAAACAG